GGGGGGCACAGGCATTTATCTGCTGGATATTATACCTTGGAATTATAAGTTAATATTCTGTTATCGATTACTATTATCTTCAGGAAAAAGATTAATAATAAAGCTAATTATCTTTGACACCTGCATAAGCAGCTTTTCCTCCCTTTAATTTCTTGGAAATCAAACAGAAGTACATGCAGTTTTGCACTATAAAAAACGACAAATATATCTGCAAATCAAATCATAACAGTAGTGAAATTGTACCATGGAAAATTCTTATTAGGTTTACAGCCTTTTAGTTGGTTATCTAACAAGGCCTTAAACCACCACCGTCAAAATTTTCTTTTTTTTCCTTTTTTTTTAAAAAGAAAGAAATATCCACATATTATCTGCAGTCCAAATCTCGAATTGATGGATTCAAGAACAGGAACTAGTAATATTTACTAAAAAATGTAGAAAAAATAAAAGATAAATCAGATTCTTTTTTCAACTTAAAATAAATCAGATCGATTTTCTCATATATGAGAAAAAAAGGGAAAACAAAAAAGGCAGATCTTCAAAAGTATATATGAAGCTGGAAACTCAGTCATAATATTTGACATCCCATACAAAAAATCTTAGAAATAAAGATAAGAGGATTTATCTAACAAAATACGTTATAGTACTTGACCTAAATTTAGAACAATCAGATCTTGCATAAATTGAGGTAAGAGAAAGAAGTAGTAGTAATTCTTATTCTGGAGTTAGTATATTAAAACAGTAAAAATAAATGAAGATGTTAAATACCATAAATTTGCAACTCCAAGATACAGACTTTCACAGATAAGGGTTTAGTAAAAACACATTTATAGACGCACAAAAATAGTATAAAGAAAATATACACAAAAAAACATTTATTTACACAAGTATGTATACATACATATAGATATTTATACCTAGAAGTGCTGCAGAATTCATAGAGTTTGCCACGGCTAGAGAAGATGATAAGAGCAACTTCAGCATCACATAAAACTGAAAGTTCATAAGCTTTTTTGAGAAGTCCATTTCTTCTCTTTGCAAAAGTAACTTGCCTGTTTATTTTGTTCTCTATCCTCTTAAGTTCAACTCTTCCCCTTCCCATTATTTTCTTTCTCTTTCTCTTTCTCTCACAGATACAGAAGAAGGAAAGAAAAACCCACTCAGTACAGTGTCTTTACTTTCTTTCTTTCTTTCTCTCAGATATATAAGTATTATTCCACTCTAGGTTAACCACTGAACCCCTTTTGGCTTTTTGTCGAATGTGTGGATTTTAAAGAGTTACCAAATTTAATGGAAATGAGTGAAAGAAACCGTGACATGAAAGAGAGAGAAATAGAAATTAATAGAAAAATGACCGCTCTCAAAATAATTTATATATATATATATATATTCTAGTATATGTTATATACAAAAATATACAATTTTAGACTTATTTTCGGCTACCGAATATAAATAGTTTCTAGCGCGGGCTAAAAGTGATATAACCCAATAATATGGAAGCCCTGGTCTCTGCTCTATCTTTGGTCACTTTGCTATAACCAGCTAGTTGTAAAAATTTATTCGCATCAGATTATATATTAAATTAAATATTTTAATCCTACTTTATATGATATATTTTTCTTTTTAGTTAGTCTAATAAAATCATATATTTTTATATTGAAAATAATTTAAATTAAACTTTTCATTTAACACCAAACGATATGATTTTATAGCCATAAAAGATTTATGATAGTTTTCAGGTTACACGTTTTAAAAGCCTTTTGTTCTTTCTTAACTCCCTTGAATAATCAAATATAAATTATGAGGTAGTAGGGAGTATAAATTGAAGTGAAAATACATATCATATGCTATAGTTAAGTGATAAATATGTGTAAAAAAATTACAGGTGATAAATATGTATAAAAAAATTACATGTCTTAGCATTCATGTGTAACACAGGATGAGAACTACTCCTTTTATCAAACCTCTAACCTTCTAAAAAAAACCAATCAACTTGGTGAAAAATTCTCAGAAACCTATTAATAGTCATACTACAGATTTTCACTTGAGAACTGAACCCTAAATTTTTACTGTTTTTAAAATATGATTTTCTATACCCTAAAAAGTGTATCTATATATGTAACTCTATGTATGTACGAAATATGTCCATGTGAATATCTAATAAGCAAAAGGGCACATGGAATTACCCTATATAAGTAGGCTACAGGTTTACCTAAGGGAAGAGGTCTGTATATTACTTTTCTGATGTCGTTGCTTTTGTGGTTTTGGGTAAAGTAATGTTTCACATCGATACATCTTATTACCTATTGGACATGAATAACAACGTAAAAGTACAACCTTAAAAGTTAACATTCTCATCTTCAGTATTAGTAACGTGTCGATGCCTCCCCTACGAGGTATTTTGTTCTTTTTACGGTAGTAGTTTTTAATTACTTACATTAGAGTGGCATGGAGAATTGAACCTACACCTATAAGTTGTTAAAATATTTGATTATTTTATTTAAAAGTTTAAATTATTTGAAAATTATATATTATATATTATTTTCAATAATAGGCCGTGATGAGATTTCGAACTTACGACTTTTGCCTATTTTGTTACCAGGTTGTGGGATCATCTTAATCTTATCTAGAAGTTTAAAATATCAGAAATTAAGATGATAGTGTTAATTATATACTTAATTATCTTCAACAAAAATTCTCGCCAATATCACTAGACGTAAATTGAGTAGATTTCTATTCATGTTCTTGGCCTTTTGCTTTTCATATGTTTTTCGATAACTATAACAATATACCCGGTGTATTTCATTTCTCTACAAAATGGGAAATGAAATGTCACTGCTTGATAAATAACCTCTAAATTTAACGGGAAATATTTTGGTTGAAATATTAACTTATTGACTTCTGCATCAACCCTAATCACCAAATACCAATCACTTTTAAATATTTTAAAACTGCACCTTTTTTACCGTGGACTAATGCTTAACCTAAATAGCTAGATTAAGGCGCATAAAATTGTTCAAGTGTACAATTAGAAGTCCCCCCCCCCCCCCTTTGGGTGTTTTCATCTAATAAGTCAATTAAATCTTAAGAGATACCGGAACATTTACCGGTCAATCCAAATTGAGCAGGTCCCTAATTTTCTCAATCCGTTGTTGGACAATTTCTTTGGCTTCTTCTGGATTTTCCTCTGCATATACTATTGTTCTACAGGGCACGAAAAGCATGAGGGTTTTTAACTTCACTTGTATATGCATAGCTTGCAGTTAAAAAAGGAAGAGAGAGATCGGAATCTTAAAGTGTGTAGCCATTGATTATTAGAGATCAGCACTCTTTTATTTGCTCAATTGTCTCCAGTGCAGCCTAATTCTTTGTTCATGAGCTAAATAAGTGAAATTTTTTTTGATAATGAGTGACAGTAAAACTCGAATCACTCGATCTGTCTGCTCTGAAATCATATTGAGGTGTGTTATTAATTAACATTGGTATTAGAGTACAAATTTAGAAAGAGGTCATTTTTTTTGGAACGGACCAAAAAGGAAATAAGTTCACAAAAACTGGAACGGAGGGAGTACATGCTAAAGCAGCGCATAGAATAATCGTTGTCATTCTGATATGAAATATTCACAATCTCCATCATGTGCAACCGGAAATATAGTCAGTTGGAAAATCCTTTTGTGTTATTTGAAGGCTGTTAAAGCTGTATTATACAGACTTTAACTTGTATGAACCACAAATATAAAGAATTTTCACTATCAAATTATCTTTATATGTTATAGCTGTATATGGTCAAATCCAGGTTTGCCCTTCGTATAATTAGTCGAGATTGGAATGTGATGAACCGAGAGTCATCATTGTAACGTCGAGATCAGAAGTAAAGCCCGGTTATCGGGCTCAAGATACCGAGCTCGATTCAATATCGAGCTCGAGTCAATATCGAGCTCGAGTCAATATCGAGCTATGACATGACGTAGTGTTATCGAACTCAAGAGTCAGACACCAACCAATACCGAGCTCAAGATCCAGAGATCGACCGATACCGAGACCGACCAAGATCGATCTAAGAGACAAAGAGCCGTTGTAGCCGCACCAGGGAGAGAATCTCGACGGAAATTAGGGAAAAGATAATCAACTAATCTATCATGGGATCCCCACTATGTATCTTTTATTATATCCAAAATAGGATTCTTCCACTATATTAAGAGTGGGTATCATTTTTGTAAGGGCAGATTTCAGAGCTAGAGAAGAAAACATTGATACAATCACAAAGATTATTACACTGATATACATCAGGGATTATCCTTTTTTGATCTTTAACATTGATTCATCTTGCTTGTTTACAAATCATTCTCTACTCAATTTGGTTTGTATTTTCATTCCCTTTTTACAGTTAATATCTGATACATATTTCAACTTACTTTTTCGATTTGTACCGAGTTATATCACGCATCCTTAGAATTACATATAAATTCAACTCTATCCGTTTTTTGGGTAAACAGTTTGGCGTCCACTGTGGGGCTAAGGATAATAGTGATTATTTGGTACGAATCTCTGTGAAACACACTATTTTACACTTGCTCTTGGAAGTGTCTTTGATTTCAGGCTGAAAACGACGAATTCTCAATTAATGGCCCTACCTATCGATAACGAAGCTGGACTTCAAGATGAGAACAACAACTTAACGCCAGGGGGTGAAAGGCCACTTGTCGATCCCGTTGGATCTCGGGTCGAAGAGCCAATAGACGTTAATTCACATGTGGCCATCCAGACAAACCAACGTTCCGACCCTGAAAATAGCATCCATGGTGGAACTCGATCTGCAGCTCGAAATACCCAAAACGCTAAGGAAAACAGAATCAGCTTGCGTATGATTTTTGAAATATTGTAAGCTCAACAAGTAACAATAGCCCAGTTGCAGAGCCAAACCCAGGCACCAACCAGGCTCGAGCCCAGTCCACCCCAAGAAGTTACCCACAAAACGGGGCCAGCTGTAGTGAGGTCAAATGAGCAAGAATCGGGGACTAATCCCGAAATTGTTAAGATGCTCGAGGAACTGACAAAATGAATAGAGTCAGGAGAAAGGAGGATTGAAGCAAATGACAAAAAAGTAGAAACGTATAACTCCAGGGTTGATCAGATCCCGAGGGCACCACTGATATTGAAAGAGTTGGATTCCAAAAAATTCGTACAAAAGCCTTTCCCCCCGAGCGCAGCTCCGAAACTGATCTCCAAGAAGTTCCGCATGCCCGAAATTCCTAAATATAATGGAACGACCAAAACACATGCTTAACTTGAGTTTTATTCATAAGTACAGATATTACCAGTGCATCGTTATGGGGTTGCATGATTCCTTCTGCGTCGTCATCACTAAAGGACAAGGTTCCTTTAGGGGTGTAATCCTAAGACCGAGATCGCTTCTCTCTTTCAATCGACATCTTAGTGCGTTTTAGCACTAGCCCTTGGGGGATGTTCGTCCCACCGATGATTATGTGGATGTGGCACTTATTGTTCGTTTTGTCTTCTTAAATCCCTGTTTTTGAAATGGTTTTTGGCCCGGTCACTTAAAAATCCTCGAAGGTGACCTTTATTGAATAACCGGGCTACCTCCTCTCTCAATTGCCTGCAATCTTCCGTTCTGTGGCCATGAGTGTCATGATATTCACATATTTGATTGGGATTCCTCTGGGTTGAATCGGTTTGTAGAGGTGGGGGCTATTTAGTATCTTTGATGTGTCTGATAGCCGACACGATGGCAGATACATCGACATTAAAGTTATATTCCGATAACTGCGGTGCTTCCTTAGGTCCAGTATGCCTATCGAACCCATTCTTATTCATCAGCCCCCGATACCCTTGGCCTTGATCACTTCTTTTATTGCTTTGTACAAGATTACATTTTGGTTCGTTAACCCTATAATCTCCACTATACGGCCAGTATCGGTCCCTGATCGGCCTTTGTTCTCGGTTGATGTCTCTTTTAATAACGGACCCAGAACCCAACTAGTCGTCTTCGACTCTAATCTTCGATTGATATCGATTGTGAACATCGGCCCAAGTAACAGCTGGGTACTCGATCAGGTTCTGTTTCAACCATCGTGAAGCTATCGAGCTTCGTTCGTTCATACCTTGAGTGAAAGCTTGAACAGCCCAATCGTCTGTGACTGGTGGTAGGTCCATTAGTTCCATTTGGAAACGAGATACGAATTCTCTTAGCATCTCATTATCTTTTTGTCTTAC